GACCCAGAAACCAACAATGGGAAAATTGTTTTGAGAAACTTCCATGTAAGAAGGGCAAATGAAAGAAGCCAGAAAAGAGGCTAACCATCAGGAGAAGCCAGATCCCCTCACCAATGACAAGAAAAAAAAAACAGGCGTGAAGATGGAGGACAGAAAGGTATGGATAAAACACTGATGACTGAGGGTGGTGAATAATGGATGGAGACAGAGGAAGAGGTAATGCAGGAAGAAGTTGGAGCTGGAGAAGCCGCGGAAATCACAGTTGAGATGGCCAAGAAAGAGCTATCAAGACTGAACACGGAGTGTCAAGGATGAATGAAATTGCCCAGAGAAGAAAGAGAACAGGAGAATAGACAAATGTGTAGATCCAATCATGGCCAAAAACATCAATACCCAGAGCAAGAAGACAAGAAACTGTAGACCTAAACCCAGACAATTTGTGGTTAAGGGACAAAGCAAAAGCCTCAATGTGAGGAGTACCCCACTGAACTCAAATCCACTGCAAAACAAATGGTTCGAGAGGCCACTCCGTCATATAGATGTTTTTTGGACAGGAATCCAATCCATGACAAGAGCAAAAGCACCTGGAACATAACACGCAATGACAGAAATATTTAGTGTGTGGGCCCAAAAAGAAGAACCAAAGTATAAATACAGAGGGAAGGAGAATGGGTGCCATCCTGGTGATTGAGATAAGCAACCACTGAAGAAAAGGCAGAATGGATCATTATCAAACAATTTCTGGCCAAGTGGAGAAAATGAACCAAAACATGACCTACAATGAGAAGCTACAGGACGTCGATAGGATAAAACCTATCCAGAAATATCCAGAATCTACCAGGTGATCAACCCATGCCCTCCATCCCCAAAGGGGTGCATCCATGAAATTTGTAAAACCGGATGAGAAGTAGGAAGTGGGACACTCGCCGACATGTGAATCATATCTAACCAACAAACCCGATTGAAGACAAGGGTAGGAGCAAGGGTAATAAGAGCCGACAAAGGATCCCTGCAAAATTCCATTGGTCATGAAAAGCCCACGAAAGAGCCTGTATATGAACCTGACCAAAGGGGATAAGGGCTACCATGGAAGATCATATCCCCAAAAGCAATACAATTTTGTAAACTTTAATAGAACTGAAAACTCAAACAAAGTCAAAGAGGAGAAGGGCGGGCCTGACTGAGTTGTGTGTAGAAAAGAAAAACACCCAAATGAACAAGATATTGGATAAGTCGCAGTAAGGACTTCTCCAACTTGATTAACAGCCGATATATCAGCCTCCAGGAGCAGTTGATAAGGGTAACAGGTGAACTCCTGTTCGGAACAAGTGAACAGTAGTCAGTCAACCAAAGCACAACCAGAGAGAATATAAGGGTCAAATGAATGCTCTGAACTGCCAACAAAACAAACAGGGCCGAAGCAAATCCAAAAGGCAGTGCACAAAACAGAGAAACCACCCCGTGTAGAATAACCTGAAGAGAGGGTCACACGTGACAAAATATCAGGATATGTAGCATCTTTTCTTCAAAATGTGAATTTGTACTTTAAATTTAGAATTCTTAGCTTACTTTTTAGTTTAGTAATAACATTAAGGATAAATTTTGAATTTGATAACAAAATAAGAGAGCTCTACTATTTTAATGAAAAAAATTAGTAAGAGGTATATATTACAGACAAGTTTATATATCTGGTGAAGTTGATTGTAGCTGACATGATGATTGCTAAAAAGATGCAAGCTTTATTATATTAAGATATGCATTCCTTAGA